TTCATTCAAGACCATGTTGCAAAAATGACTACACCCTAATGAAAGTCTTAGGAGCAAAGCTAAATTTTGGACAACAAAATCCTAATTAACAAGAATTCAACTACAGGTGAGTCTAATTATTCATTGAACAGGTGTCCAGCAGATAGTTGACTATAAAAGGGCGTTACTTAACAAAGAAAACCCCTCTCCATTTCTTGCTGTCAACAATGGCCCACATGGAAGAGAAATGTCACAAGACCTGAGAAAGAAAATAATTTCTTTACACAAGAAAGGTGAAGGCTACACGAAGATCATCAAAGCTTTACTTAGCAGTCAGAATACTGTAGCAAAGTGATATAAAAATGTAATTATCTCACAGAGTCCTCCAGACCATCCACAGAAGTTAACACCTCGACAGGAGCGTCTTCTGATGAGAAGGGTTGAAGAAAATCACCATGCATGTTCACTGAACTTAGCTAAAGAAGTAGAAAGCCAAACTGGGGTGATTGTTTCCCATGACACAATACGACATACATTGCAAAGGAATGGTATGCATGGGTGTCGTCCATGAAGGAAGCCTCTCCTAAAGCCCATGCACAAAAAAGCCCTCCTAGAATTTACCAGGGCCCATGCTGAAAAAGAAGACTACTGGGACTCTACTCTCGAGTGATGAGACCAAGATAAATGTTTTGGAACTGATAGCTTCAAAACTGTATGGCATCGCCAAGCCGAGAGGAGTACAAAGAAAAATGCACGGTGCCTACAGTGAAACATGGTGGTGGAAGAGTCCTTCTGTGGGGCTGCATGAGTGCTACTGGTGTCAGGGAGCTGCATTTCATTGATGGTATTATAAATTCACAGAGGTACTGCTCTATGTTGAAAGAGAAGATGCTACCATCACTCTGTGCCCTTGGTCGTCGTGCACTTTTCCCACATGACAATTTCTGAAGAAGAACTGGGTGAAAGTGATATGTCTCCTGATCTGACCCCAATCGAACACCTATGGGGAATTCTGAAGAGACAATTTGAGCATCACTCTTCATCCAGCATCCAGGCTCTAAAAGAGGTCGTTCTTGAAGATTGGAAACAGATCAGTGTTGCAATATGTTGCCAACTTGTTCATTCCATGCCTAGAAGACTTGGTGCTGTCCTTACAAATCATGGAGGACATACAAAATACTAGCTGTAGTAGTGCTTGTTGTGGGGTGTATTTATTTTTGCATCAACTAATTTGAGTAAAACTTAACATTTTGTAATCTACGTTTTATTAATAACATTACTTTCATGACGGCCACAACCAATCCATACCCATTTCTTCATCCTCACTGTCCTCTTCATCTGGGCTTGTTGACACACATTGAGACCTGGCTGAGGTGTGTGATGTTTGAGAGGTGGACTGAATCTGTGGTTTGGGCTGTTGGGGCACACGGACTGCTTCCGATAAGGGCAGTAAGTGATTACAATGTCTTTAGTGGGCCTGTGTTCACTTCTGGGCGAATCTGATACACTGGCAACCCCGGCAACTGTCTGCAAATGATATAGGGCTGTGATTTCCATCGATATGCCATATGCGATATGTCCCAGGGATGCCCAGGTTCCTCCGTTACACTCTTTCTCCAGGTTGTAGATCATGAACTCTCACTTTCAGGTCAAAATTTAATTTCTTAGTAGTCTATTAATGCGTCTACTCTCAAAGGCTCTCCCCTGATCTGAATGAATACATTGAGGTAGGCCATAGTGGATGAAAAACTTCTCAACCAGGACTTTGGCTACTGTAGACGATTGCTGGTCTCTGGTTGGGAAGGCCTGGGGGCATACCAGGTGAAATGGTCGGTTACTACCAAGACATTCCCCTGTCCACTCAAGTCAGGCTCCAGGCATAGAAAGTCAATGCACACCAATTCCATCGGCCCCTGGCTTTGAAGGTGCCCACTGGAGCAGCTTTACTAGGTAGAGTCTTTCTCTGTATGCATCGCAAGCAGGACTGACAGTTTCCTTCAACCTCAGCCTGCACGCAGGGCCAATAGAAGCGGTCCCTTACTAGCTGGAACATTCTTTCTGGCCCTAAGTGACTATGATTGTCATGTAGAGCAGTCAGCGCTGTTTCACTGTACTTACTTGGCAAGAACAGCTGCCACTTGTCTTCAGGATCATCCGAGGGGCCCCTTCGGTAGACCATCCCGTTACGTAACTGCAGATGGTCCCATTCCTTGTGTACTAGACGTTCCTCATTTGGAGAGTCTGTCAGCAGTCGGTCTGGGTTCTGACTCTACAGAGCCTCCAGGGTTAAACCACAGAGAATATTGTCCTTCTGATCCTTCCTCAAATCCCTGCTTGAAAGTTTTGGTAGGCTTTCATCCCTGATTTGGGAGTGATCACAGTAGTATTTGGGACTACCTGTAGCTGAGACCCCAATGGCTTCGGCCCTGATTGTCCCTCTGGCCTGACATCCTGCTTTCCACACAAGGCTTGTGTCCCTTCTTGCGTCAGCTGGGTCTACTCTTCAAAGGAGGTCCCTGAATCATAGGGTCTCCTTGACAGGGCATCAGCATCTCTGTTCCTGGCCCCAGGACGATACTTCAAACTGAAGTGGAACCCTAACAGGGCGGCCAACCACCTGTGCTCGGTGGCATCCAACTTGGCTGTGGTAAGGATATAGGTGAGTGGGTTATTGTCCGTTTTGACCACGAAGTCTGCACCATACAAGTAGTCTCTCAATTTATCCACCACTACCCACTTCAGGGCCAGGAATTCCAACTTATGTGTGGGATAATTCTGCTTAGCAAAGGTGAGTTTTGTACTCATAAGCAACTGGTCACAGGTGCCCACCTTTCTCTTGATACAACACCCCTCTTAGTCTGTCCATCTGGCATCCACATGCAGTTCATACAGCTTGGTTGGGTCAGCATAAGCTAAGCCAGGATGGGAGCAGTCATTAGGCTCCATTTCAACTGGCAGAAAGCCTGCTCACACTGGTCAGTACACTGATCTTGGAGAGACTCCTGAGACTTTCTGGGCCCTCTCACTTGTTTTAGCCAACTCAGTTGAATCTGAATCTCCATCGTCAAACTCATTTTTCAGAAGCTCGGCAGGAAAATATATGATTACTCTGCAGTGAACACTAGAGTGAAAGAAAGGGAGTCTTCATCTGTGCAGCAAATGTCTTTGAGTTGCAGAAAGACATAGCCTGACCCAGCTACATCAGCTTTAACATTTCATGAGGTTTCAAGCTGGGGAAGGAAGGCAACCCTCATCATTGTACTCCCGTCATCATATTTTTCAGCTATGGTTAGGTGTTCCTATTGGTTATGCAGTGTTTTGTTTTCTTCAGACATACTGCTATTTACTCTGACAAGGGGTATTGTTCGGGTTTGCCATCACCATGGGTTGAAGGCAATTCAGCATGTTTGAGATTTATGGTCCTGACAAATTAATGCTGGAGTTCAGCAAACTGAATTCTTCGTAACCATAATGCACTGCCTGGCTTTTGAACTTAGGTCAGCTGGCTTAGAAAGACCAATAAGGGAGCTTTGGATAAGCCAGACCCCTCACTAAAGGGTGAGTTAAGACCAGCCATATTGATAGAGCTATATCTGTGACAGGTAAGACATAGGGAATGTTGCTGACATGGTGGCATATGAAGATATTAGTGTAGTGCCTGTATAGGCTGGCAGGACTGTTTAAGCAGATATAAACCATTATTTGTTATATTGTAAGTAGCAAAATGCTGTGTATCTTAGAAAATTGGGGCGATTGGGGTGATGGAAGCAGTTTTTTAGACTTTATCACATCGAAATGCTGCTGATGTCCCACAGCCTCTTGAAAACCTGTTCCTTTGTATTACAGTAATAACAGACTGCATGTGTAATTCATGGGACATATTTCCTAATTTTTGTAGTCTGCATTTTTTTCAAAGATTTTTTTTAAAAAGGTAAACAGTAAAATGTTCCTAGGCAATGTACATCAGCACAGAAGCTTCCTGTGGGAGAGCATATGACAGGGTCATTTATAAGCAATAGATTGTGGGAGACACAATCACATTTAACTGGCACTATTTTAAACTACGTAAATCAAAGTCAAGGTGATGTCCACTGAGTTCACCTGGAGTGATCTGAAGGTGGTGGCAAGTTTAGCAATACTGGCAAGTCGAGCTTGTCCTGGAAATCCTGAATTCACCAAATGGAATAATCCTTAGATCAGGGGTGCTCAACCTGTGGCCCTTGGAACCCTCTGATGTGGCCTAAAACTGAATGCAGGAGTTTTGGTGCACTTTCAGAAAGTGTACAACACCCGCAAGGTGTAATAGAAATCTATGACAGAGCAGCTAACCTGCAGGAAATTTGCACTGTGCTACCCCTGCTGTGCAAGTAAACAGCAGCGCATCAATGCGAATGTAGCCTCATAGGGGGATGAGGACAGTAAGCTTAGGGGAATGATAAAACCCCATAGTTGAGATGTGTTTTTACCACACACCCCGAACCACTGGTGTAGTGTCAGGGATCGCAATTGCGACCCTGCCCCATGCACCAGGGGGCCTGTGCATCCTCCCTGTCATATTCTGTTGTACACTTGCACAGTAGGGGCAGTGGGGGCAACATATACAGGAACAGATCCTCTCCATTTTCCTCCTGCAACCTCTGAAATTCGGCTTCTCCTCCTCTCCCTCCTGCTGGCATTCAGCAGCTGCAGGAGGAAAATGTTCATTATGCTATTCAAAATAAATATTTTGAAATGCTGAACCATTTAATTTCATTGTGGCCTGCGACCAGTTGCTAAATCACTAAAGTGGCCCTCACTCTTCAAAAGGATGAGCACACCCTGCCTTAGATAAATACTGTTGTATTTCTTCGGTGATGACTAAAAAATTACATGTAAATTATGACTTGATGGTTGGGATAAGTCTAATTAGTCAGATATTTGTATAGTTTGACGCATTTTAAAAATTATACTGTTTCTGCTACTATAACTACTACTAACACTAACTACAATTAATGATAACATATTTCTATTTTTATGTCTAGATAGAAAACAAAAAGACTGAGTTACTCCACATTTCATCAAGAATAGAAGAGCTAGATAAGCGATTGTCCACTGTGAAATCTGAGGAATCTCTGCATCGATCTCTGCAGTCCATCAGGTGGAGGGAGATCTCAGACTTGGCTGGTTCAATGAAAAAAACTCTCCAAGTCTTTAACTGATCTGTCCTATTAAAAGAATTAACATACCAGTTTATCACATCTAAATCTTAATTAAATTGTATTGTTATAGAGCAGTTGTATACATTTTCCTTCTGCACCACTTTTAATTATAGTTGAGTGTTGGGCACGCTGTGCATGTGCTGTTTTTAACAGGTAGTGAGCTTGTACCTCAAAAGATATGTTGAGATATCTACAGTAAAAAATACTCCAAAGAAAAGGAGTGTTGATGAAATGGATATCTAAACCCATACATGTAAAGCGCTATCCTCAGGGTTCACAAACATCAAACATAGGCTTCCATTTCCCCTGAAGACATTATTGGTAACAAACTGCCACGTTGGGGCAGGAGGGGCACAGTGTCTGACATCTTTATGTTTTCATGCATACGATGTGGTTACTGATGCCGATAGTGCCCTTTTGTTCATCACAAGTATCATTTAATGTTTTCTGATTTTGCATACAAAGTTTTATTTGAAAGCATATAGGCTAAGATTAATTAGCAGCTTTTAAACAGTATCACGCTACGTGCAGTGTGCTTCCTTTTTAATTATATGGTCCATGCAGGAAGAGGTGTAGCGGCCTGAGTGGCTGAATACCGGCGGTCCCATGGTCCTTGGTGTTGGATGTATGCCCTGGAAACCATCCATGTGGGCCCTGTGAGTTGTCCATGAGATCCTGGGAAAGTATCTCAGCTGGTCTGGGGCAGGAAGGAACGTGGAATGGTGGTATAACAGCTAGCGCTTTGTGAGCTCCTTGTAATATAGGGGTCATATTACAGGGTAAGAAGTTTGGCTATCTTTTCTGGTGGTGGTGGCTGCATTGGTTTGCTTCTGTTTTCACAAGCACTTTTGTGGACTTTTTATCACTTTATTAAATTGAATAATAAAAGGAGTTTTTTGGACTTTATTTAAAACATACATTGCACATGGTGTATTGTAGATTTAAAGGGATATTAATTATGTTTTATGTTTGTGAACACCAAGGATAGCACATTACATGTTTGGTGTTAGATTATTATTATTATCTGCATGTGGGTAATTATTTTGCCAGCTTTTCATTTTACATTTGATATAATGCTGCGTAGTGATTTGTAACACATTTTCACACACTGTGGGTATGTTTTTTGTGTTTATTAGGGCAGAGTTGGTTTGGGCCTGAGTCTTATTTCTAGCTACAGTTGTGTTAAAAATAATAGCAGTGTGTTGAAAAAAGTGAATAAAGCTCAAAATCCTTCTAATAGCTTTTATTTCCATACACACAAATGCATTGGGAACACTACACATTCTATTCCAAATCAAAACCTGAAGGAAAATATATCACATTTATGTTGTTCCTCTAAAAAAAATTGAAGAAAAGTGAATATTAAACTGTTCAAAAACATAGCAGTGTTTTGTATTCTTCTTTACAAACTCAAACATTCACTATATAAACTGAAAAATGTTTGAAGATTTTGCTTTCCTTTGAATCACTTAATTAATATTTAGTTGTATAAGCACTGTTTCTGAGAACTGCTGTACATCTGTGTTGCATGGAGTCAACCAACCTCTGGCACCTGTGAACAGGTATTCCAGCCCAGGATGATTGGACTACATTCCACAGTTCTTCTCTATTTCTTGGTTTTGCCTCAAACTGCATTTTTTAATGTCACCCCACAAGTTTTCTATTGGATTAAGATCCAGGGATTGGGCTGGCCACTCCATAATGTCAATCTTGTTGGTCTGGAACCAAGATGTTTCACGTTTACTGGTGTGTTTGGGGTCGTTGTCTTGTTGGAACACCCATTTCAAGGGCATTTCCTCTTCAGCATAAGGCAGCATGACCTCTTCAAGTATTCCGATGTATTCAAACTGATCCATGATCCCTGGTATGCGATAAATAGGCCCAACACCGTAGTATGAGAAACATCCCCATATCATGATGCTTGCGCAACCATGCTTCTCTGTCTTCACAGTGTACTGTGGCTTGAATTCAGTGTTTGGGGGTCGTCTGACAAACTGTCTCCGGCCACTAGACCTAAAAAGAACAATCTTACTTTCATCAGTCCACAAAATGTTGCATCATTTCTCTTTAGGCCAGTCAATGTGCTCTTTGGCAAATTGTAACCTCTTCAGCACATGTCTTTTTTTCAACAGTGGAACTTTGCGGGGGCTTCTTGTAGATAGCTTGGCTTCACATAGGCATCTTCTAATTGTAACAGTACTCACAGGTAACTTTAGACCTTCTTTGATCTTCCTGGAGCGGATTGTTGGCTGAGGCCTTGCCATTTTGGCTATTCTTTTATCCATTCAAATGGTAGTCTTTCAGGTTTTGGTTGCCATTTGAAAGCATTTGCGATCATTTTAGCTGAGCAGCCTATCATTTTCTGCACTTCTTTATATGTTTTCCCCTCTCCAATCAACTTTTTAATCAAGGTACGCTGTTCTTCTGAACAATGTCTGAAACGACCCATTTTCCTCCGAATTTCAGAGAGAAATGCACTGTAACCAGCATGTACAACATTTTCTGCCTTCCTTCCTTAAATAAGGGCAATAATTGCCACCTGTTTTTCAAAAAATGAATGACCTCACTAATAGAACTCCACACTGCTATTATTTTGAACATGCCCCTTTCAATTAGTGATTCAATTACACAGAATCAGCAGCATGCATGTCATGACTGTTGGGTCTGTTGGATTTCTATTACTCTACTACACCTGCTAGTAAATTATTGGATATTCCCTGGATAAACTTTAAATTTCTTTTAATTTCTTTTCCTCCAGAAGTAAAGAGTGCCCCCTTGTCCTCTGTGATGACCTCAGGGTGAATAACTCTACACAGAGTTCACTATATGAACCACTGATGTATTTATACATGTTGATCATATCCCCCCTTAATCTCCTCTTCTCAAGAGAGAATAAATTTAGTTCCTCTAATCTTTCGTCATAGCTGACCTCCTTCATGCCTCTTATGAGTTTGGTTGCCCTTCTCTGTACTTTCTCCAGTTCCCCAATGTTCTTTTTGTGAATTGGTGCCCAAAACTGAACTGCATATTCCAGATGAGGTATTACTAATGATTTGTACAGGGGATTGGACCTCAAACAATGTTTTCGTTCTGCTGGCTTACTCTGCAAACACACTGAACTGCTGACTATACGGCACCTTTCCACCATAACCATCAAATACACTAGTGTCCTCTTGGATCTACATTCCTAAATGACATGATTGAGAATGGATTTTCAACTGGGAGACATTTGGGGATTTTTTTGTTTCATTAAAGGACTTGTTAAAACGTTTCAGTTTGTTTATTTACAGTTTACTTTTTTTGCGTGAATGAGTAAGGGCATTATTTACCCCTTCTCATTTACATAGAGTGGTGGTATCTGGGGGTCCCCTTATTGTTAAAGGCCTGCAGACCCACCAGCCATCAAGCCAGGGTTTTGAGAAAGAGGTTCTCAAACAACTGAAGGCATTAATAATGGTAACTTTTTTGCAATACACAAACTTGTCTCAAAACATTATAATGTACTTAGGGACCACTTGGAGAAAGTGAAAAACAGACAAGAAAAAGGAAACCTACCTGTACATTATCTATTATCTTCCAAAGAAAACAAATTCATAATACTTTCTGAAAGGCAAGAATTATATGATTTGTCTATGATTTTTGATGTAGCGCCATATACAGTATAATATATTTGGAACAAAATGTTATTCTGGATATGTAGTGAAAGGAAAATGGTGCATTCAAGAGAAGCTCCTGGAATTCTTAGATTTTTTTGAGAAGTCTGGTGAACACATTGACACAATTATGCTCTTAAGATTATGTGGACATGGCATTGATGTCAAACACTGTGGAGGTCAGGGATACGATAACTGAGTCAACATGTCAGGAAGAAATAAAGGTATAAGATTCAAAATTCATCACAAGTATGCAATGGTTTTGTTTTGTTTTGTGCACTGCATTAATTGAATCTTGTTAGTGTACATGCAGGTTTAAACTCCTCTGAAATGAAGACCTTCTTTGGAAGTATAAATACCGTACACTGTACCGTATATTGTATCCAGCAACAGTCCTAGGAGATAGAACTTATTTCTTGACAAAGTCTGTGTTTTTTAGATGGCTTTAGTACCACCAGTTGGAGTTCCACAGCTGATGCAGTTTGGTCAAAGTTCAAAGTTATTATTATGTTCTTCCCAACAATGGATGTCATCATTTCAGACTTGTATCAAACTTTTAAGTTAGTGGAATACGTCTGCATGCTATTTGTTCCCATCTTGAATCTGAGGACCCTTTCAAATGAAGAACTGAAAACATCCATGCAAATGCTCAGCTTTATCTACTGTTGTGACATCACAGAATCCCTACTGGCAGAATGACAGCACCTTCAGAAAATCCATGAAAAGTAACTTGCCAAGGATCTGGGTCTCTTTGAATTATTACCTGCAATCTATCTGCCTCTTGAAGGAATTTTTAGAGAAGTCTGCATTGCTTTTAGATTTTCTTCTACCCTTTCAATCTCAATTACAGAGGGAAATATATCATTCATCAAATTATCCTTAATCAAAAACTATCTGTGTTGAACAATGAGTGTTTGAACAGCCTGATTCTTCTGTCAATTGAACATGACCTTGTAAGGCTAGGTTCACACTAGTCCACATGCTGCGGGATTTTTGCAGGTGCAGGAATCAATGCAGCCGCATTGCGTTTCTCATGCAATTCACACCACCACACATCTCATCCCGCAGTTTGATCCACATACTGGAAACCGCATGGTCAAAAAGACACACAGGAATCTTAGGCACTTTAGAAACACTGTCCTTAGTGGTTTGAATTATTGATTTAATTTCTCCTGTGGAAGTGATGTATTGTTTTATTTAAAATATTTTTCATTAAAGTGGAACTCCAGCCAGATCTTTTTTATAGTTTTGGTTAGCATGCCAAGGAAACAGTTGTCAGAACTCAACCAGATTTTACCAATTCCAATGCTCCATGTGGTGGCCTAGCCATTTCTTAGACTCTGCACC